CCATGAACTCTCCACAAATGACCCGGTCCACGGTCCAGCAAATGTAGGCAGAGTTTCAAACGTGTCTGTAAATTTTGTGTAAATATGAGGACCTACTTTTGTAATTTTGAGGAGATTTGGGAAGTCCAGAAAGTTGGATTGAGCCAGCTGGATGAAATCCTTCCTAATGAAATCTAAAAGATATAAATACATACATACATACATACATACATAAATAAATCTCAATATACACAAAAGGTAAAGCATAATGTGGAATAGAAAGTGATGTGGAATATGTGAAATTATGATGTAGTAGTAGTAGTAAGTCATGATGTTTTCCCATTATTTTTACCTTACATGCACAGACAGAATACTACGCCTGCGAAATGGCTCCGTACACTTATCTTCAAATGAGTTCATATATGCCATATACCTGAGATTTCCTTCATTCTCCTGATGGCAGGTTTCTCCAGCTGTTTGATCTGGTCCTTCAGTATAATCTCGAAGGTCTTGTAGTTGATGAATCCTGGTAGTTCTCTGCCTCTGCATTTTTCTTCATACTCCTTCATTTCCTTCTCAATGCCTTTGCTAACTAAAAATCCCCTCCGCCACCAAAGTAAAGGTTCAGGGTAAAGGTAAATGACATAACCTTCAAAGTGGTCCATCCTACATCCCATCCCCACTCATGTCTTTGTCAAATAAGAGTGAACACAATTTCCTACAACTCTGACTAGCTTCTAAGTTTAGATAATATATTTTTTCCCCAGAAAATTCCTATTTAAATTAAACAAAGATTATGCTGAAATATAGATGATTGGTGACAGGTTTTCAAACGTGCAAAGTCATACCGTAGTCGTACCTGAGGGAATTAAATTAGTAAAATTTTTTATTGCAATATTTCAGGTACCCAACATCTGTAACGCCCTTGACATACAGACACAGACAAATATCATCACACCACATGTCACTCACATGTCAGTTCTGATTTGTCTAGATCCAACTGCCAGTCATTAAACTGTCTAATAAGAGTGGAGAAGATGTTGACATGTGGCACGCTCTTCGTCTCCTCTCCAATTGTTATGTTGAAAGCGTCCTGAGTGAATGCTGTTATTTTCTAATAAAAAAACAAATGCCTGTAGTCAGACTGATTTATTTATTTATTTTTTAAATAAAAACTCAGTAAAAAATTCACACTTAAAATCTCGTGTGTTTATATATTTCTTTAAAGCTGCTGATGTGGTTAAAAATATACATAAAATAAATACGAGGGAGACCTAGTATGAATAATATGTAATGTTATTAAAAATCAGCAGTGAGATGCGCAATCTGATGGAGTGTTCAGATCCGGGTCCACCCCCTCACATAGAGGAAATAGGGAAAAATGGCGAGCACCTAGACACATAGAAGCGGTATTAGACGGATATATATATATATACATTGATGAACAGGATTCGCATTTTTGGGATCAACAAACTAGGATTTGTTAGTCACAGAGAAATATAAGAGATTTAGAGAAACACAAACACACATAGATAACACACACACTCTTGCACATTCAAGGTCAGGCGTACAGACACACACACACACACTCTCTCTCTGTCTCTCCCTCTCTCACAGACACATAACATTATAACTTTATAAGAATAATAAAAGGAGTATTAAGATATTAGAAGGATAATGTAATAATATTATGAAGTAGGGAGTACAGTAAACCACTTGCAAGCAGCATTACCATATATAAAATAGAAATATGAAATATAGAGCAGATATGAAAGTAAATTATAATCCAGAAATACAGAAAGATGTAAAAGAAACTTACTCATAATTCAAATGATGAAGATTTTTGTCTCACGAGGAAGGGATGGCCTTAAATTTTTAAGAGAGAACCGTCCGAGAGAACTGTCCATGAGGAGCCATTTATAAGAATGGTTGAATTACATGGCACCTGCGCAGTGAGATCAAGGTCGTCGCTCTGAATTGTTTTGTCTATCTCAAATTTTGAATCATAATTGGAAATTTCTGAGTAGGTTTTTTTAACCTCTTGGTAATCTTGATAAGCTATTTTTTAACATAATTGTAACTGTTTGATATGTTTTTTTTTCTTTAAAAGTAACTGTTTGGGAGGCCTTTGTAATCCTCATTGTAACTTTTTAGGAAGCTTTATAAACCTCATGGTCAATGTAGATGAGTTCTTTTTAACCCTACTGGTATTGAGATCCTAATCTTACTGAAATATATTGTTTTTTGTGCTCACTTTTGTTGCCAGCGGTTTAGACATTAATGGCTGTGTGTTGATTTATTTTGAGGGGACAGCAAATTTACACTGTTACACAAGCTGTACACTCACTACTTTACATTGTAGCAAAGTGTCATTTCTTCAGTTTTGTCACATAAAAAGTTATCATCAAATATTTACAAAAATGTGAGGGGTGTACTCACTTTTGTGAGATACTGTATGTGTGTGTGTGTGTGTGTGTGTGTGTGTGTGTGTGTGTGTGTGTGTGTGTGAGATAATTTATTTATCAGCCACAGAAGGGATGAAAGTAAGAACGTGAGAGAAATTAAGTGATGCCAAGTGATGAAGAGATGAGTTGATGAGTTTCCTTTCATACCGGTCTCCAAACTGCTTCAACAATGATCTGCTGCCACTCGCTCTCTGTTTGACTCTCGCCTTTTAAGGTTCGATACATTTGAGAGCTGCTCAAATTAAACTCTGGGTATAGTAGGTAATATTTGCAGCAGTACATCGAGTGCATCGTGAAAAACTTTGGATATACGATGTACCAAGGAAACAATATCCAGGAAATTACTTTCCAAGGACGTGTTAAATTACATTATTCCAAATTTCAGGACCATCGCTGTAAGACTTTATTTCGTTTGTGTGTACAACTCACATCAGTCAGGAAGTCCATCCATTGTTCTGGATCTGTAGGAGGCCCAGAGTTGTAACGATCCAGTTCAGTCTGAGTTTCAGCTAACATCAGCTGGATTTGCTCCTTCAGCTGCGGCAGAGATTTCTAAAACACAAACACAGGCACATTTTACTACCAGCAAGTATTTTAATATGAGCAGGGACATTTATGTACCATACAATCTAGCTTTACCTCGATGTGAAGGACAAGTTCGAGTGTGAGTTTCTCAGCCAGCTTGGGAATGGTGGCTTTTCCTTCTTTATACAGCATCCTGTGAAAACCGCATTTTTACATTCATCTCACTGAGATTTTTTTTCAACAGCAACCATTTTTTTATAGATTAATATGATTAGGTCCACCTATACTAGCTAACATGGTTAATATTCTTACATTAAAATTTTAATTCTACATACTGTGCCTTTAAAGATATCCAACGGCAAATTCTGGAAAATTCTCAAGACATATCTTCTTGAGTTCAAAATGTCTACCTGAAATGTGGATGTTCTATAAAGAAGTCCTTCTCCTTCTTGATGGCTTCGTACAGAGAGATGCCTTCCACGACCTCCTGCTGTCCTCGGCACCTGACGGCCATGTAGCCTTTAGTGAGGAAAATGATGTCGTTATTGACGACGGACACCACCTCATCCTCCATGCATTTGTCCACCAGGTCGGGCTTTGTTAGGATGCCTGTTATGAAAACACAAGCAAAATGTTTATGGAAGATATCTTGTGCACATGTTAAAGCATCACTGTGGCTAATGAGTGTTCTGTTCAGTAAGTAGTGGCAAGGATAAAGAGGGTTGAGACTAGAGCTACGCAAGAGCGTGAGCTGAGCTGCACAGAGCTGCGTGTAAGCATGTGCGTTGACCTATGCACAGGGAAATGAAACCGCTATACTTTTCCCTCCGAACCAAAGAGAAGTGTTACAGTCAAAGTTTTGCAATTCAATGTATATTAAAAATACAGACCAAGGGTTCTTTCGCCAGTTCGATCGATTTTCTGAGCCATCTTCAGCACTTCAGAAGTATTGATGTCCACGTTACACGGCACCACCACCAGGATGATGATGTCTTGCTTTGTGATGAACTTTTTTATCAGGCTCTTAATCTGAAAGAAAGCCAGGTATACACTGATACATTACAAAATGCTTTATTTGACATTTTATCAGAGTTTACAACGTCATATTTAATCAGTATACCACATAACAAATATGATACATTTAAATAATCCTTAAAAGCAATTGACCTGTTCTCCAATGTCCTCCGGTTGGCCTTTGACTGGCACTTGGACAATACCAGGCAGATCGATGAACGTGAGGTCGGGAGCATTGGTCGATGTCACCTCCAGGCTGATGAGCTCGTCGCTCACGCCCAAGGCTCCAGCTATTTCATTCTGAGCTAAAAGAAGAACATGTACATGAGACAATAATAATTAAAACAAAAATAATAGACAGCTAGGTAAAATATATAATTAAGCAAAGCTAGCTAGCTAACAAAACAGCCACCAAATTAGATAGCAAATGTTTAGGAATACAATGTTGGCTTGATAAAATTTGAGAAAGACCCTAATCAGACTAATCAGACCCTATTAGACTGCTAATGTTAATAATGCTAATAAAGAATTTTCCCAAACAAAGCTAGCTGGTAAACACCAGACAACATGGCAATGGGACAGAATAATCATAATACAATCTTTCATTTTCATTTCATTTTATTCAAGTTTTTATTTGTAAAATAATTTTACAGACTACAGCTTTTACCTCCTCCTCTTCAGCATTAGAGAGGACTTTGTGTAGCTTCATTACAAGTCAAAAAAGTAGCCAAGCTAGCTTGTATTCAACATTAGTCCGCTTATGACTTAGGTAAGTACTCAATTATATTTGCTTGATTTTGTTGTAAGCTTAATAATAATAATAATCCATCCATCTTCTATCGCTTACTCCTTCTTCAGGGTCGTGGGGAACAATCATATACACACTCACACACCCATTCATACTACGGACACTTTAGATACGCCAAACAGCCTACCATGCATGTCTTTGGACTGGGGGAGGAGTACCCGGAGGAAACCACACAGTACGGGGAGAACATGCAAACTCTGCACACACATGGCCCCGGCGGGAATCGAACCCCGGACTTTGGAGTTGTGAGGGCAACGTGCTAACCACTAAGCCACCGTGCGCCCAATAATAATAATAATAATAATAATAATAATAATAATAATAATAATAATAATAATAATAATAATAATAATAATAATAATAATAATAATAATAATAATAATAATAATAATAATAATAATAATAATAATAAACAACAACAGTTAGTTCCTGTCGACTAATTTGCCTGTATTAGTGTCATCCCAAGATTTGACTGATGGAGTGAAACAAACCAAATATTTGGCCATACTGTGTCTAAAATGACAGAGACTTGATATTCATTTATTTATAGAGCTGTACGATTATGATTCACAACATTGTTACCTTTTCTAATCGATCTCTCCACATCTGCTGGATCTGTAATGTCTCTCTCAATGTCCTTGTACTTAATCTTTCCATGCCAGAAGTCCTTCTGTCTGCTCTTCTTCATCTTGAGCTCGAGTGGACATCGTGTCACGATACCTTCCTGATTAACGGCTGAGAATTCAACCGTAAAAAAAAGTCGAATACTCTTCTTTGATATTTATTCAAATTTTTTTTAAACATTTGAATCCATTCTGATACATACGCTGTATGTAGCGACTTAATGTATGTTCAATAAGTTTCAGTATAAATAATGTTAAATATAAAGACTTTACAATCATTACACAACTCTCTATGTTACTATTAAGTTTATATTGATAATGAACATTACATTAGGCTAACATAACTGTGGACATAATACTCGATAGTGATACTTGCTATGAGAGTGAAAATAAAAGGAAAATGAATAAGGGCGTTTGAAATAGATTAAACCTGAAATTCAAATTTCACGTACTTGAACGTAACTTTATCCGCATTAAAGTTTCGGCTTCATTAAGAGTCTGTTGATGTCCCTGAGGTAGACCGATCGGTCCTGTGAGCATGTGAACTACTGTATGTAAATTAGGTTTGATCGGGTTTGTAAATTCCATTGATATGGAAGTATCTTACAGACAATTTTCAAAAGTAAACAAAAATTGGATTTGCAGTTGTGTTTCCTACTTGTGGACACGTAAATTGCAACAGAATTCAAACAAAAACGAAAATGCAAATCGCATATTACCGCGTTTTTGTATACGTGAATGTACAATGTCTGGCAAATTTAAAATGCAACTCAAACTCAACCTGCAGTTGCATTTCACATAATTACAGTTAAAAGTTGGGTGTAATTATAATGTTATTTGGCTTTTTTGTTGTTCTTTTAATTTAGACAAAATTATTATTATTATTTTTTTGTTATTTAAGTTAGTTATCTTGAGCAACAGTCAAATGAGTGCACTCGAATGCACTTTGGATGCAATTTCACGAAAGAAATGAAACTAATAATTATAATCGGATCAAAAATGTAAAATATTATCTATAATAATAATAATAATAATAATAAGAAGAAGAAGTAATAATTTTTTGTTTGTTTGTTTGTTTTTATGTTTTTGTTCAATCCCATATGATTAAAACGTTGACCCATGGTGTCTCACCTCTCCCGCAGGGCAGAGCGACTCCGGACAGCGCCTCCAGCACCGAGCTCTTCCCCGAGCTCTGGTCTCCGATCACAGCAATGGCTGGAAGCGCGAGGTCCTTCTCCACACCGAACACGCGCAGAGAGTCGATCAGGTCGATGTACGGGCGCACCTTCTCCTCATACTGCTCACTCAGGCTCATCTCTGGCAGCTGAAAAAATACTCGGCAAAGTAAGTTAATCAATAACTAATAACAATTTCAATTTTAGTCTGCGCTTTTATGCAACTCTGTTTCCTCTGAGTTACGTGGAAAAGTGAAACTGATGCACCAGGTCGCTTCACCGGTCATGCAAAGCACCAACGGATCACCTGGGATCCAGACCACATTTAGCGAGACTGATGCAAATACAAGTACAAATGCAAATAAGGCTAAGACGAGTCGAAGTAAATACAGTAAACCTATTGAGATATCCCTATTTCAAAGGTGGGTCAATAACTGTGCTGAATTTACCTCAAAATTGTGGATTCAAAAAACATTTTTAACCAAAGAGTAGATACCGAAGACATTTAAGTATTTAAGTATTTAAGTATACTCTATATCTCTATAACTGTATAAATACAGTATCTCACAAAAGTGAGTATACCCCTCACATTTTTGTAAATATTTGATTATATCTTTTGCTATGGGTGAAGGTGATGGACTGGTGTTGTGGTTAAAATATATATAAATTAAAATACGAGGGAGACCTAGTATGAATAATATGTAATTTTATTGAAAATCAGCAGTGAGATGCGCGATCTGGTGGAGAGTGTTCAGATCCGTGTCCACCCCTTCACATAGAGGAAAGAGGGGAAAATATGGCAGCCACCTAGACACACAGAAGCGGTATTAGGCGGATGGATGGATGGATATATATATATATCCATCCATCCATCCGCCTAATACCGCTTCTGTGTGTCTAGGTGGCTGTGTATATATATATATATACACACATACACACACACACACACACCAGACCTAAACCCTATGGAGCATCTGTGGGGCATCCTCAAACAGAAGGTGGAGGAGCACAAGGTCTCTAACATCTCTAACACCAGCTCCTAAGTGGACTCCAGTGGCAACTTGTGAAGCTTTGGTGAACTCCATACCCAAGCGGGTTAAGAGTTATTTTGAGGGGACAGCAAATTTACACTGTTACACAAGCGGTACACTCACTAGTTTACATTGTAGCAAAGTGTCATTTCTTCAGTGTTGTTACATGAAAAGATATCATCAAATATTTACAAAATGTGAGGGGTGTACTCACTTTTGTGAGATACTGTATATCCCATATAAGGTCGGATAGAAATGGGTAAGATATGCCTTTGAATATGTCAGGAAAAATTCATTACTTTTAAAAGGTAATTTTCCATCAATATATAATTTATCCATATAAATACCTCCTTGTTTCAGGTTTTGCTTTTAGTGGGTAGCTGTAAAGTCCGCATGGTGGCATAAAATTTTTTTAGACCAGTTTTCCTTTACATTAATAAACTGCTTTTGGAGCATTACCTGGATAGCCAGACATATGATCTCATCATGATTCCAATCGAACAACAGGCATAATTCTAAAGCTTAATGTCCTAATTTGCGATCGCAATTTACAGGGTTGCTAAATAATAATTCAGCATTTTATTGGCACTAATTGTTGCTCAATTGATACATTCTTTAGCTAGAAAAATCTGCCAAAAATCAAAGTATGTACTTAACCCTTTAAATTAGGGTTTCATAGCAGCGTGTGATTTAGAACACAGTATCCATCATGCATGATTATTGTGATTGCTTCATGTTTATTATACAGTAGATGTAATTTCAGTTGGTGTTCGTGGTCCAGCAAACGTGAGCAGAGTTTTAAACGTGTCTGTAAAGTGCTTGTGAATATGAGGAAGTACCTATTAGCATTTTGAGGAGATTTAGGAAATCCAGAAAGAAATGCATTGAGACATCTGAACAAGCTTTCTCTCCAGTTATTAGGTAGATGGCGTCCAAAGTGAATGCCGTGATTTTCTGATAAACAAAAATCTTTTGTCAATTTAAAAAACACACAGTGTATGCTTTTTATTGTTATCATGGTTACTTTACAAATCACAGAGCCTTATTAGAATGGTAGCGTTAGATTTCCATGTTACAGGGATCTCAGATTATGCCTTATGCCTGTCAGATTGTCCGTCTTGCCTTCCAGCCTGTTTTACCATTAACTTCTATTAACTTTTAGTCTGTGCTGCTATAAGCTAGAAAGTGTGGTTTGCTGCAGAGTCAGGCGCGCCTGGAGAGTCTGAAATGAACACACACACACTGACAGATATGAGTGTTCACAGAGACTTCAGCTTTATTCATTAAAAACACAAGTATTTATAAACATTGTACACATTGATAACAGTTTCGTGGACAGTTTCTACTGGTCCAGGTGTCAGACAGATTTAGTCAAAACACACAGCACATAGTTGTGATACAAAATAAGTCCTGTGTCATGTTGACATGGAAATACATAATAATATAATCAAGGATAGCAGTTGATCAGGAAAGGGAATCGCTCCTTTTCCAACTGCCATACCGGCACAAAGCAGGCAGCCCCGCGTTGGACCTAGCATTAACCGGAAAGGACGCCATGCCGGGGAGGACCCACCGATGCCGTACCGTCCGGGGATTGGAGGATCGGACGGAAGAATTCCACCACTCTCTACCCGGATGGCGGAAATAAAAGGACGCCCTTCCACCCCGGGAAAGTTGAGTACCGACTTACCGAAACGGTTGGCGTCCGAAACGGATCCTCGTACAGGTATTCACCCGTACTCCCTTTAAAGCTGACTAATCTCTCTCTCTCTCCCTGCATATACTTCGGCGGAAGGCACCGACACGGACGAGGACGGCTGCCGGCCGAGACGACGCGCAGCGCTGAGGGACGGCTCAAGGACCCCGAGGCTTCTTCCGGGATTCCCCCGACACGCTCCCGCGAGTGTCACGGCATCAGCCCGGCCCCGCAGACCTACACACACGCCCCCCGGACATACACTCTACCAAAACAACAATAAAGCCTGAGTTTTTGCTTTACTTCCACCTCCGTGTCTCTGTGCATCGCCCCTTCCCGCTACAATCTTTTCTAAAGCATTAGTGGGTACATATGTACAACAATGTTCACCAACCATAGCACACACTCCTCCTTCTTTAGCTAGCATCAGATCCAAAGTCAGTCGGTTTTGGGTACTCATTAATCTAAGTGCAGTCAGTTCATCGTTAATAGAGTCAATGGCTTTAATTGTAGCATTTACAACACGGAAAGGCAGTAGTGAGTTACTTCTGCGAAACACCACATCTCCTTCATTCCAAATCTAGGAAAAATAATGGTCCAAAATCATTTGGCCTCTGTTGACACTTTATGTTCATTCACACATATGTTCATTCGTACATTCCATCAGAGAGTCAAGCAAAGGTGGAGAGACCATACCAGCCATGGGGTAAAGAAGCGTATTCCCTCAACCCACAAGCCCAGTAATGATCTTCTACAG